CTGAATGCAAGCAATTGGTTCTGAAAAGTAGGATGTAGCAATAAATATAAAACAAATGTCCCTGAACATACGCAGAGTTCATTGCTCTTAACAGTGCATGACTATACCCAGGCCTCCGAGAGTCTGGCCATATATCTGGGATTGAAGGGTATGAGCTTCTAGGCCAGAGGATGTGGGTTCAAAGAAGACTTGAACAGTGGTCAACAGTGGTCAACCATCTCCAACCTGGAATCCTCCAGATGTTTTGGACTGGCAGGCTGGAGGTGATGGGAGTTGTAGTCCAACATAATCAGGAGGGCACTAAATTGGAGAAGGCTGCTTTAGAAATTAAGTAAAACAACCTTGGAAGAATTAACACCACCTCAATAATAACAGAGAGCTTTTGAAGATAAACCAGAAAGAAAATGACTAGAAGCATTGAGATTTTAGAAAAAAGGATTCACCTGCTATCTACTTATCCAGGCTGGAAATCATATATATCTTCCAACAATTCATAGATTAAAACTGAGCCTTTCATGTAAAAACAACAACAACCCATTCTCACACCCAAGAGTGATGCTCATGGGAACCCCCTCCCAAAATTGCACACTACTGAAGTCTCATCTGTTCTTGCTATTTATATATTTACTCTGCAAGCAGTGTGGTTTGCACTGCAGTGCCTTCTCAAGCAGGGAATATTAGTCAACTGACCAGAGAATCCTACAGCTCCTCAACTTTAGAAAGTTCAATCTCACAATAGATCTGGCTGCCCTTATTACAAATAGCAGCAACTCAAAACACATTAAAACTGTTTATCTGGATAGAGAGTTTTCCAGATTTTGACAGACTACAAATCCCATCAGCCCCAGATAGCGCCAGTCCATGGTCAGGTGATGGGAGTTGAAGTCGAGCAACACCTGAAGGGCTACAGGTTTCTATCCTTGAAGCAAATTTCCATTCATGGGCACTAAAATCATGACGCATTCCCCGTTCCAAGAGTTAAGTTCTGGAGAGAGAGAGGCTGAATCCTAAAGAATTACAGCTCTAGCAATGCACACTTAATATGTTTTTAAAAGTGTAATCACTCCCAAAATCTCTCCAAATAACAAAATGGGGATGATACACAGGGACAGACAACAGGGACTGTCCCTGGTAAAGAGAAATAGTTGGAGGTGTATATGAGTTCACTTCAATCTTGCACAAAAATCAAGCAAGCTTGTTTCAGGGGTACGAGATGACAGGACATCTCTAAAACATACATTTATTCCACTGTCTGCTGATATTTGATACTAAGATTGTGATTTCATACTTTCGTAAACTGACACACTCATAGGCAATGCAAATAAAGAGGTCACATCTTATGCAGAACTCAGCATTCACGAAATGAAAATATTGCCAATGCAGGATCCAGTGAAAACCAAAATCTGATTCCTGCAACCTATTCCCGGGTTTTTCATTTTTATTTTTGTGAAGCTCCTGTGCCCTCACCAGCTATGTTGGCAGGCAGAACTTCACAAAATTCAGCTTTTCCTAGAATTGGAAATGGGGGAAATGGTCAAACCTCCCCCCCCATGTTAACGTATTGACTGTTACAGAACTGTTTAAGTCACAACAGACCTCTCAGAAATTTTGTGTTCAAATGAAATGTCCTTCTGCAGCTGTACAGAGGAGACCAAGCTATGCAGCATGAAAAGTTCATACAGAAAATTCACTTTATCCGCTAAGGTAAGGAGGAAAAGAACGAAGAGGAACAATATCTGAAACAATGGCAAAACCAAGCAATACCCACCCACGTGCCCTAGCTTAAAAGCCTGTTTGATAGCTATATATTATAAAGGCCAAACCATAGATCTGGTAAGAGAACTGGGTACAGAAACCCAGGTCATCTAAAAAGCAGTGAGGAGAGGACATAATTTTCAAAGAAGGATTGGCTGCGGTGAATGGTCACTTTCCCAGCCTGCAAAGGCCAACTGGGGGAAGCAAATCTCGAGTGCCAGTAGGTTGAAAAATAGTTGGAGGGGGGACAACTCTGAGTGGGAAAGCAACCAGTGGGGAAAGGATTCAGCGTTCTTCCTCCATTCTTCCCTGCCTCTTAGAATCTTCCCAACGTTGCTTTTCAATAAAGCAAAAAAGGAAACAGTTGAGGCTTCGCTTCTGCACGATACAAGGAGGGCATTTTGCTTCTCTCAATCTTTGAAGCCTTGCTAAAGCTGTGCCCAAAGAACAGGAGCCAGGGAGCAAACTGCCATTTCAGCATTCAGCTTTGGGAGGGGGCCATTAAGAGATGGGGAATGAGATTCACAGAAGGATTTAAAATCCTGCAAAGATGGGGATTTGGGGGGGGGTGGAGTTCTGGGGAGAAGCAGTCCATTTTAAAACAGTATGTTCCAGTGAACAAAGTTAGAACTGCTGTTGCCTGTTTTAAGCCTCCCCACTTTTTTGCAGGGTGGGTGGGCACGACAACAAAAGGAATTTGACCCTATGGCATTCATAGCCACAGGCCTATGTAGTTGCTTATGGTAATAGTCGCTTGGCGTTTAGAAATAGTGAGGTGCTCCTGAGGAAGATTGACAAGTAGCCTGAAACTCAGTAGAACCCAAGGATTCCTTTCTCTGCCTTCCCTAAATGGAAACCAAGGGAAATTGGGCAAAGTTTAAAAAGTTGGGAGCAACTTTTTGAGGAGCAAACCTCATGTTGAGACTTTCAGAGGGAGAGGGAGAGAGAAATTGCATGCTAGACCAATCATCCTCAGAGCTAAATTAGGGTTGCCATATTTTGAAGAGCAAAAAAAAAAGAGGACGACTCTCATTTTAAATACCCCCTACTATATGCAGGTTATAGAAACTGTGATATATTGCTAAGGGGGACAGGAGAAGAGAATAGGAAAGCAAGTCTTTGGCTACCAGTTATGTCTATGTCTCATCCAGAAAGTATGGCAAATTTTAAAAATCCACTCGGACAGAAATTTTACCACTGAAAAAGAGGTTGTGTCCTGGAAAAAGAGAACACATGGCAACACTATAAATATCAATGGTGGAATGCAACTTAAAGAAATCTTCTTGCTTTTGACATTTAAAAACAAAGAATGAAAGAACGTGCTGGTGCTATTTTTCTGCTTGCCACTAGATTTCAGAGAGAAGAAATCTGGGTGTACAGAGAAAACATTATACCCTTTGAGCTGCGTATCCTTCATCCAAATGGAATCCCCACACAAAAAACACATCTGCTTTTATAGTGTAATACCCCCTTGGCCAGAGAGGAACCTTATCACTGGATAAAGCACCTGGCAGGACCACCACATTTTAGCACTAAGCAAACATCTGCAGCTCAATCCTTATTTGTATTGACTCAGAGGAACACCCTCTGACTTCAAAGGGGCTTTCTTCTAAGTAAACATAGCATTGATGCCCCCTAAGAAGTAAATATTTCTTGAAGATCATACTTGGCAGCTACAAATTCACCTGCCAATTTTTAAAAAATAAATAAATGAATAAATAATGAAATCTGCTTAGGAAGTGGCAGTTATCAAATAAAAATATCTGATACAAAAGCCATCCCTTTACAGGTTGCAATCAATATCCCAACCTCTTATTTGCTGGATGAAGAGTTCTTTGGAATTCAAAACGCAGAACGTTAACAGAGGTCAGTCTGATGACAGATCGGTCATACCGATTTTATATCTCCTGGCAAAGTGCTTTGAATGCCAAGCAAAATTAACAATTAAGCCCGTTTAAATTGTTAACAACTGCCAGATTAACATCTGAGACAAAACAACAAGCAACACTTGCAATGTCACATCCAAAGGAAGTGACACTCCTTACAATCCACAAATGAGTGACCCTAGCAATTGTTATTTTACAAATAACCTGACCCTATTGATGTTCACTTGTAAATCTTCCTTACTCTGAAGCAAGTGTGCACAAGATTGCAACCTCACTTTACTTTGTAAACCAATTTGGCTGAAATTTTGAAGTTTTGACCTATGAAATATGTATTGTACTGGTGTATATTTTATACCTCTCGGTATGTATGTATTCTGAGCATGTATTCTGCGCATGAACTAAAGAGAAACATAACATGTTTCTCTTTAAACAAATGGGAACAGGAGAAAGTATTTCCTAAAATATAGCCAGCGATCAACCTGCGCTGCAACCATCCTACCAGAAGAGTTCAGCTTTATATTGTATCCTTAAGGTACTTTTAAGGTTGTGGTTCCAGAAATCCACATCTTAGTAGCCAATAAAAACAACAACTGGGGTCTAGGAAAGAAAGTAGCACTTCATAAATCTTGCCATTCTAGAGTGTGTATTTTAAGGCAGTTCAGCACTTTAAAAAAATATATTTCTTGTTGCAAAATTCTAACGGAAGTAGAGAGGAAAACAAAGTAGAAAAGTCCAAGAAAACAATAGATTTCACCATCATTTTCACATAACAAGTGGCGTTTGGGTAATACTATTATCACAGAATTCCTTTGTGTTTGTGTGTGTGCTTTATTGTTGGAAGAACGGGGTTCAGTAAAGAATTGTACAAAAGCTGTGAAACAGGAGAGACTGCATTGCTTGGTCTGCTGTTCTAAGTTCTCATCATGGCAAAGCGGTATTTGGAAAAAGAAGAAGCAGCAATAATTCCTAAGGGCAGAATCCTTTCCCTCCCCTAGTGTTTATTTCGTTGTCCCACTTTGCACAGAAGCAGGACCCCAGGACCCCACAGAGAGTGACAGGTCAGTGTGCCTCCTACGTCCCTGGTATCCCTTTTGTAATCCTGTCTCCTGGTTCCCGGGAGCTTCTGTGGATGTGGATGTGTGTGGAGGAGGAGGAGGAGGAGGAGGAGGAGGAGGAAGAAGAAGAAGAAGAAGAAGAAGAAGAAGAAGAAGAAGAAGAAGAAGAAGAAGAAGAAGAAGAAGGAAGGCGATCAGCTATGAAACTGTGCACTACCTGCACATGAAAATAAAATAAAAGGAAAGGAAAGGAAACCAGGGTTTTGCTGAAACAGAACTTGTCAGAATTGTTATCATCTCTCACCTTCCATTTTGTTCTGCAGCAACTGCTCCAGATGCTTCTCTTCTGGGTCCTGGGATTCCTCTGGACTTTCAGAAAGAAAATAAGATTCCCAACCTGGCAGGCTTCTGCTTCAAAAGGGAGCTGTCTTGTATCGCAGCAATGACACTCAGGGCTTGTCAGGGAAGGACAGGAAATACTTGCATGTTGTGTAGGAACAGAGCGCCCCCAGGTGGTGGGGGGAGGTGGCAGATGTGGTGCAAAAACATAATAATGAGGCACAATTTTTTTAGTTGCTGTTACTCATTTGTTGAGGGGGGGGCAGGAATCCAGCTGTCCTTCTCCAAGTTAAGGAAGCATCGCTTCTCCAGTACTCAGACCACAGAGTATTGATCTGGGAGGTCTTCTCCCCTAACTGTGCGTCTGCCAGCTGCTTCTCCCTGTTTGATTCAGATTACTTAAAACCATTGTAAACATTAGCAGTGCACTTCTGTGCACATTTATGCAGAAGTAAGCCACACTCTCTTCAATGGGACTTACTCCCAGGTCAGTTTGTATAGGACTGTGGCCTAAAGGTTACAAACACAATTTAGCCTAACCTTCCTCACAGGGGTTGTTGTGAAGATGAAATGGGGAGGAGGAGGAACATGGTTATGTGCACCGCCTTGAGATCCTTAGAAGATAAAGTATATTTCTATGGTATATAAATGAAATAAATAAATAAAATGGTTAAATAAAGCTAGTGAGGCCACTACTGACTGTTGATGGGCAACTTCAGGGCCCATCTTGCTCTCCTTTCATAGGGTTCTTTACCTTTTAGGGACAGATTTTTCCAACTACTGTCCTCATCTCTTCAAAGATAATAATAATAATAATTTATACCCCACCCATCAGGCTGGGTTTCCCCAGCCACTCTGGGAGGCTCCCAACAGAATATTAAAAACACGATAAAACATCAAACATTAAAAACTTCCCTAAACAGGGCTGCCTTCAGAGGTCTTCTAAAAGTCAGTTAATTGTTTGTTTCCTTGACATCTGATGAGAGGGCGTTCCACAGGGCGGGTGCCACTACCGAAAAGGCCCTCTGCCTGGTTCCCTGTAGCTTCACTCCTCACAGTGAGGGAACCGCCAGAAGGCCCTCGGTGCTGGACCACAGTGTTTGGGCTGAATTATGGGGGTGGAGATGCTCCTTCGGGTATACTGGGCTGTGGCCGTTTAGGGCTTTAAAGGTGAGCACCAACACTTTGAATTGTGCTCAGAAACATACTGAATACTCTCCTCTTTGAAGTAGGGCACAAGACCAACCTATTCCTTTTTTAAAAAAAAAATTAATTTAATTAACATAATTATTACAAAATATAAGCAAAATATTGCAAATACATACATACATACATATTTCAGATAAGCACACATATATAAAAAGAGAAAAGAAGAAAGAAGAAAAAATAGAGAAAATTTATTCTACAAATATCTCAATATGAAAATATTAATAAAATTTCATTGGTTGACTTCCATCGCTTACCCTGCACTTCCTATATACATTTTAAGCAAGATTGTATCTGTTATTCTGTATTATTCCCATACAATCTCACACAAATATTCTAATCAATAAGTTTTCTAAATCTTTCATAAATCTATTCTAAACACAACCAATACTTTACATTCAATCTTTGTCTACATAAATAATCACTTAAACATTTCCATTTTTTCTGGATTATATTTTTTGGTTTTTGTCTTATCAAATCAGTCAACTTTGCTAATTCCAAGTATTCACATAATTTATTCAGCCATTCTTCTTTAGTTGGAACATATTTTCCTTTCCAAAGACCAACCTATTCCTTAGGCCACCCTGAGTGGGCCAGTGGGACCTCAGTCACTCTCTGGAAAGTGAGCAGGTGAGAACCCACCCAATGCCTCCCCTACAACAGTATCTTGCAGGGGAAGATGGGCTGCGGAAGGCCAGGCTATCTTCCAGAGATGCACATTTGCCATGACGGACTCTCATAAACCTCCAGAGAATCCCGAGGTTCTCCGGAACAGCCGAGGCAGAACAGTAGCCATGGTTACTAGAAAGACAAGTGGACAAGTCTGTTGGCTTGACAGTTGGAACGCCGACTGGACGCAGGAGGGTTATCTCCCTTTGTTTCCCCCTTCTCCTCCCCTTATGGACAGAAGGCTGAGAGGGCCATAGTAGCAGAAAAGGATGGACTCTCCATTGCACCATGCAAGGCGGCAGCGGTTGGTCGCCCCTTCCCCTGTACATCGCCCCTCACCTTCTCCTCACGATGGGGGTCATGCTGAATGCTCTCATGGCCTTGACCCAAGGTAACTGACATCCATTTTACAATGGATCGGCCAATGGCATGCAGGTCTGGGTGCCGGGATTCCCCAACCGGCCGATGAGCATCGCTTGGGTCCACCCCTTGGTGGTTCTCAGGCCTAGCCTTCCCGCAGAGGGTACAGAAACTTGGTGGGGTGGGGGAAACTTTTACATATACAGTGGTACCTCTGGTTACAAACTTAATTTGTTCCAGAGGTCTGTTCTTAACCTGGAACTGTTCTTAACCTGAAGCACCACTTTAGCTATTTCTGGGTTAGCGGAGTCTGTAACCTGAAGCGTATGTAACCCGAGGTACCGCTGTAATTAAGTCTATTGCAAAAAACAACCAAAATGGGTCTTGTTGCGGCACCTTAAAGATGGACACATTTATTTTGGCAGGTTTTGTGGGCAATAAATCCTCCAAGGTGCTGGCTTATTTTATGCCCTTCAATCTGACTCATTCTCATTCGGCTGGAGCCAACCTGTGTGCCACATCAAGTATTTTGGGTAGAACGTTAGGGTGGCTTACCACGCAAACGCCATCTGATGAAATTCCCTCTTCCTACGCCATTCTGAGAGGTGTAGGAAGCCTGTCCTGTGTTTGCAGCTGGCCACATTTGCATGGCTGGTGCAAGAAGTCCTGCTGCTTGCAGCAAATGCAGAGCCACTGCCCCCCCCCCACAGCACCACACAAGGACTTCCATCTGCTTCCTGCTCCTATTCCTATAGATTGTGTGGTCCTTCCAGAGTAAGGTAAGGTGGGTCATGTGGCCCCAAAGAGCACCAGATCCAGACCCTCTTCCGTCAGACAAACCACCTACCAACATCTTCATTTTATCGGGATTGAACCTCACTTCATATTTAGACCGTACTATTCCTCCAGGTAGCTCAGGGCAGCTTGCATTGCATTGTAATGCTTGTTATCTTCACAACAACTCTGTGAGGAAGGGTAGGCTGAGCATTGACTGGTCCAAGGTCATGGAGCAAGCTTCGTGTGAGTTGAGATTTAACCCCAGGTCTCTGTGGTTCAATCCCATGTGCCCTAATCATTAAATAATTTTATTTTCCCCACAGTCGAAAATGAAGTGGGCAAAGAACAGTATTCTGTTACGTCAGTTAAAAAGAATTACATTTATGGCAATACCCACCATAAAGGTAACATTTTATTTTTCCATTTCTAAAATTAAGACGGTGCATGGAATACAGTGTGTGTGTGTTGTTGTTGTTTACCAATGAAAGGAGCAGAGATAATTCTTAGAAGTTCAAAAGGAGCATCGTATCCTGTTTGTGTCACTTTATTGAAAGAGATCTAAACCACTGAGCCTCTTGGGCTTGCCGATCGGAAGGTTGGCGGTTTGAATCCCCACGATGGGATGAGCAGTTCGAAACCACACCAGTGCAAATAGATAAATAGGTACTGCCTTGGCAGTAAGGTAAACAGTGTTTCCATGCACTCTGGCTTCCGTCACAGTGTTCCATTGCACCAGAAGTGGTTTAGTCATGCTGGCCACATGACCCAGAAAGCTGTCTGTGGACAAACGCCAGCTCCCTCAACCTGAAAGCGAGATGAGCGCCACAACCCCATAGTCGCCTTTGACTGGACTTAACTGTCCAGGGCAGTGCCAGATTTATGTATAGGCTAAGTAGGCTGAAGCCTAGGGCCTCTAAATCTAGGGGGCCTCGCCAGCCTGCCCTCTCCCCAGTGCCTCAGGCTTCACTCTCCCAAAATTGCAAACTCAAGATTTCATGCAAGGGCAGGGCAACTCAGGCCCAGCAACTATTAGACTCAGGGCTAGCCAGTGGGGCCCAATTTGAAGCAGTGGGGCGCAACTTGATTTTTTTTTTTTTTGTAGGGCCCTACTTCACAGCCAAAGTCTGCAAAATTTTATAGATATAAATAAAATCCATCTAGATTGCCCTGGTGCGGGGGGTCCCTTAGGAGCGGCCCGCAGGGTCCAATTTGGCCCACTTGCTCCAGTTGCCTTAAGGTCAGCCCTGATGAGACTGTGCAGGGGTTGGACTCACAAGCTCTGCACCTTCTAGGTCCCTGGTGTCACCATTCAGAGTATAGACTCAAGGACTTGTTATGGAAATAAAGGGGGGGCACTTACTGGAAATCAGTTTTGTCACCTCTTCCCCCACAAACCCCGAGACAATGAGCCCAGCCACCTTTTATTCAAAGCCGCATAAGCACTACACTACAGCATGGCCATAAACTTGTACGTTCAACCACTGAAATATACACCCAATATGTAGCAATGGAGATTTATGTTACTGCTTTATGAAAGAACACTGTGTTTTATGAACGGATTCTGTATTTTTTTGAATTACTTAAGAGCCACCAATAGGGAGCTCTAGAATCTGACAGCTAACCAATTGGGTACTACCAAACAGCGACCCCTATTGCTGAAAGCAGGTAACCAGCAGGGAATGCTTCAGCTCAGCCTTTGCACTGTTGACTCAACACCCCCTGCTGTGCAGATAATGAGAAAGCTCATCAATTGTATCCCTTCTGGCATCCTGGCCGACTCTATTACGCTGGTGTAAACCCTGGTGCACCAGAAGCACAGAATAGCAACAAATAAAATCTGCTCATATGTCAGCAACTGATAAGACTTGTCAACCAGTTCTTCCATGGTCTTCCTAAATTATAAAGCTCCAAAATACAGGCCAAAAGACAGCAGGTCTGGGAAGAGCGAGACATACAATGGGTACCACCAGTGAAGAGGCCCTGCTCCATGTAGCTCCTGCCCTGTCATTTGATAGAGTGCCCACTTGCCCTTTATTGGAGTCTCC